AGGTCCGCGGCGGCGGCCGCTGCTGGCGCCTCCGGGCCGGCGCGTCTCTCGCTACTTTTCTCGCCTCGGCCGCCGCCCCTCCCCCTCCGAGGGCGGAAGACGCGGGTGAATATCCTGCCGCCCGGTACAAGATGGCGGCCGGCGCCCACCCCTGGGCTTTGTCATTGGACGGCGCCTCGCCCCCTGGTTTCTTTCTTCTCCTCTCTAGCCTCCTTTCGCCCTCTGCCTTTCTTTAAATGCGCCCGCCTCAGGCCCCTCCCACCACAGCCCCGACTCCACCCATTGGGTGCTCTCAGAAGAGGGGCGGGGACTAATGGGGGAGAGGCCAGTTCCTGGAAGATGGTGCTGGGGTGGGTGATGGTGGTGGCCCTTGAACGCCAGTCAACAGTTGGGTGGGTATATGGAGAGGCTGCCATGTCTACGGTAAGGGGTGGACTTCATATCCACCTTGGGGAGGGACCCTTTCAGAGTGAGTGGGTGCATTTGTGGATTGAGCTGGGAGATCTAGCAGTCTGCATAACAAAGGGAGACCTGCCCAAAGGCTGCCCCTCCTATCATAGCAAGAGGATTGGGGGGTAAGTCTAGAGGGAATGGACCTTTCAGGCATCCCTTCTAAACCTTCAAAGATCTCTTTTGGCACCTTCATCCAACTCTTCCCTCTTTTGGCCCCAATCCATTTCAACCAACCACTAATAATCCAGAAGCACTCAGGTAATATGGGCAGCATTGGTGGGACTATCTCCTTTTAGACAATGGAACCATCTTCATATTTAAGAGATACTCTGCTTATCAGGAAAGCAAAGGCTATTAAACCTATAAAACAATACTCTTTGCTCCAGTTGATCAAAGATCAATTGCAACAAAGCCATTCTCCTTAATGAAAGTCTCTGTGTCTTTAAATAGTAGTCTTTCTAAATGAGTACACTTCACTTTTCATTTAGCTTCAATATGTGCCTTTGCAGCACCATCTTTATCACTTAGAACGTGGCATCACAATCAAAGAGGTTCCGTTGATAGCAACACATTGTTAAGAACACATTCCCTCCTGTATTTGAGGGGAGGACTATAAATGTTTATAGAGTAGTGGTCATTTGCTAATCGTTTTTTCTAGCCTACTTGGCACTCTAGTGGGCCACTCAATGTTTGCTCAGTAAATCAATAAAATACTGCTAATTATTTGCAATGAACTGAGAAAGAACGATATAGTGAAATCGCTTAGAACAAGACAATTTTATATTTTACATTTATAATGCAATTTTCTCTCAACTCCCTTAAATTTTTAAGGCTAAAAAAATCTCTTAATACTTAGAACTTTAAGGTATGCATGCAAATTTTACCCTTCAGTGAGCATCTTATTTTGCAGTAGAAAACTGATAAAGCACAGAAGTTTTGTGATTTGCATACAGTTGCTAATGGTTCCCTCCAATATTTGAGCTGAAAGATACCAAGTTCAATCTCCTTATTTCACAGATGAGGAAATCTGGACCCACAGAGGTTCAGTCATACAACTTGTTGACAGCAATAACGGGACGATATAGTTTAGGTTATTGGGTTCCTAACCTAGTGATCTTTACATTTCACTGGAGGCTTTTCAAATGCTGCCGTCCAGACTCAGAGGTTCAATAGAAAATGCTTAATGCATGAGTGAAGTGACAAGGGTCAGAGCTGTACCCCTATTTCTACTTCCACTCTACCCAGAATTGAGTTTTTATCAGTCTTATATTGGACTTAACAGATATTTTGTCTGAACCAGATAATACTTTGCTCAGTTTCAATAAAAACTAAACCAACCAAAACTATTCTGAAAGCTGTTTCTCTAACACCAGAATGCCTTCTCCACACAATGGGTTTATGGCAAAAACAGAACTTCCTATATGGAGACCAGTTCTCTACCTACCAAAATCATGGCAACTTTCTGAAGAGAAAATCATTTTCCTAGAAAAGCACATCTGATCGCAGATCAAGATTAAGGAGCCAATTCCCAACTTCCTAAGTCCTTATAAAGAAATGATATTAAAACTTTTTACATCACAATTGTTCTCTTGGTAATTCTGGGAACACATAGTAATGTGAAATTTGAATAACTTCCATTGGAATGCCCCTGCAGACTGACAGAAAATTGTACAGAGTGAGCCAGCTGAATGATAAGGGGACTTCATAATAAAAGAAGAAGGTAAAATAAGGATTTATGTACTCCTGGCTTCTCATCTTGTTATTCCCTTCCTTACAAGTTAACATAAGTACTTTTAGGGTCTTTTGCCAAATAAATACATAACAGGCATCCCTACAAACTTATAGAGTTGATTTTGATTAAGAGGATGAATCTCTTTTTGACATAATTTTGACTTTAAGAAAACATAACATCTCAACAAATTGCATAGTATTAAACAGTTCTTTTTTAATACACACTCATTTAATTTACTTAAAATGAAACTTTTTATGAAATATTTTTAGGAACTAGCATCATGTTAAATAGTTTAAAAAACCACATACTTTTAAATTTGATATTATTTGCTCTATTCTTCTGTTTTCTTTTTTTCTTTTTATATTTCTTCTTGACCTCTACATTTTGATTAACTCAAATCCTTATCCATTCTCTATAAGTAAGTAAAGTTTACTCATAAAGATAACAATACATTCCTTTTAATTCCTGGGACTGTCCTGAGACATTATAAAGTTTATGGAAAGTTGTCAAATTAAATTTTTGTTCTTAAGGAATGACTGTCTGAAATCCTGAGTTTATTCCATTACCTCTCAAGGGGAATGATGCTCCCTATAACAGAATACTAAATGGTGGGTGGATAAAGAGAATAAACAGAAAAAAAAACAAAAAACTAGCTGTAGCTGTACATTTTCTGAATATATGTTACACAGTTAAAAAATAAATCCAAGCAGAATAAAGTGATTGGAGAAAACTAAAAGACATCACCTAGCTACCTAGACCTCTCCTTTAAGATTCCATACCTATAAAATAGTTTGCTTATTGAAAAGTGGCCAAAAAATAAAAAGTATATGTAAGAGTACATAGTCAACTAATCTATGATAAAGGAGGCAAGAATGTATTATAATAAGAAAAAGGCAGTCTCTTCAAGATATGGTGTGGGAAAACTGGACCACTTTTTTACTATACCGTATACAAAAATAAATTCAGAATGAGTTAAATACCTAAATGTGAGACCTGAAACCATAAAACTCCTACAAGAAAACATAGGAGCACCTGGGTGGCTCAGTCAGTTGACTGTCCAACTCTGGCTCAGGTCATAATCTCATGGGTTGTGGGTTAGAGCCCTGCATTGGACTCTGTGCTGACAGCTTAGAGTCTGGAGCCTGCTTCAGATTCTGTGTCTTCCTCTCTCTGCCCCTCCCCTGCTCGCGCTCTCTCTCTCTCTGTCTCTCTCTCTCAAAAATAAATAAACATTTAAAAAATTGTAAGCTATTTTTTAAGAGTATATATAAGTAGTTGCAAGCATCAGTTTTGGAATCAAATAGATCTTTATTTAAAAAAAGAAAACTTCAGGAAAAAAAATATCCTCAGACATGGTTTTTAACTTTTCCAAGCCTTACTCTCCTTATCAATAAAATGTACATAATGTCTAATTTAATTTACTGTTTTGAGGATTGGATGAGAGAACATTTATAAAACATTTACTATAGTGCCTGGTTCACCGTAAGTATCCAATAAATAATAGCCATCCTTAGTTTTCTTGTCTAATCATGAGGATTTTATTTGACTTAACAAACATATTTCAAACCCTGTATTTCAGTGGGAGTCTAGAGATTTTTTTAACAAGTAATAAGTTGTTGAGGGGTAAGTAAAATGCCAGTGCTAGAAGGAAGTTTAGATATCATCTAATGAGCCCAACACTCTTAATCCAGATGAGAATACTGAGATTGCAGTAAATCTGCTCAAGTTCACATGGCTGGATAGTGGAAGACTATCAACCAGAATGTAGGTTTTTGTTGGTCCAGAGATGTTTCAAACATTCTTGTATTTAGTCTGAAGAGATAGCATTAATTTTTAGTTTGAATGAAATTAAATAGAGCATGATTCATCAAAAAAAAATTTTCAGCCTTCTCATTAGAGCCATTCTAAAGTAATTTAGATTTTTCTACAAGTTATTTCAAAGCTCTGTTATGCTCTAATTAATACTGCTAATGTGAAATACACAAAGACCTTATAAACTGAGAGACTAGGACTTCCACTTCCAGGAGGATGAAATACACTTATTTTCCCTATTCCTCCTGCTACTTACAACTTTAAACTCTGGACATAAAATGAACATTAGAAGACTGAAAAATGGAGAGGAGAAAGCAAACAGGCTAGGGACCTCAGAGCCCAAAGAACAACACAGCAATGAGTTCCCTAGGTTTTCATTTCTTCTCTTTTCTACACACATCTCAGACTGATTGCTGGAGAAGCCAATGACCCAGAAATGCCAACAGATGTAGATACAAAAAGCCCCAACAGAATCTTGTTCTTTCTAACTATAGGATCAGGAAAGAAGTAACCTAGCAAGACTAAAAACTTTTAGAAAATAATAATCTACTATAGCAAAACACCACCCAAAGAAACCTGTGGCTTTTACCCTCCCCAGGCTGTAACACGGCACCCACTACTCATGCTGGATGGTGTCAGAGAAGGCTAAATACTGCCCATCCCTGATGGGCAGTAAAGAGGCAATTCTTTCCCATAGTGTCAGTGGAGACAATTTGGGGAGCAGTAACAAGAAGACACTCTACCCCTTACCAGCCAGGGATCTATCAGCAAAGGTCTGGTGGGGTGCTAGCATGCCCACCTCAATGCAGTAGTAATGAGAAGCCTCTTTCCCTGACTTAGGTGTCAGTGGAGCCAGAGTGGGAAACCTGGACTCCTACCTAGCAGTATTGTGGCAGCATCCCTCCCATTCCCTGTTGGTACAGTGTTGGAGAAAATCAGCTAAAACAGTTTAAATAATATCCACAGTCTCCTAACACAATATCCAAAATGTCCAGGTTTCTATTAAAATCATTTATCATACCAAGAGCCAGGAAGATCTCAAATGGAATGTAAAAAGACAATCAATAGATGCCAACACTGAGATGAGAAAGATGTTAGAATTATATAACAAGATTTTTAAATAGTCATCATAAGGACTTTAATAAGCAATTATGAGCATTCTTGAAAG